AGAAATTTTAAAATCAAACAACCCTCTATTAGAACAAGAAAATGAAGACTTAAAAAATGCAAACGATAATTTAAAAACAACAAATGACAGATTAAAAAAAGAAAATGAAGAATTAAAAAATGAAATTAAACCACTTACTGATAAAATCCACGATTTAGAAGAAGAAAATAAAAAGATTAAAGCAGAAAATGAAGAAAATACAAAAGAAAATTTGAGTTACGAAGAAACTTTAAAAACCCTTAACTTAAATATTAATACTACTATAAGTATATTTAACGTAAAATTAAATATTAATGATCCAATTGAAAAAAGAATGGAACAAATCATGAGTTTAGTAAAATCGATGATGAATATTTCCTAATAAATAATAGCTGCAATTTGTCAAACTATAAATTATAGTTTTAATTTATATTATAAAATAACATTTATTACTGTATAAATTTACAATAAAGTTTTATATATTATAAATTTGTAACTCCGAAAATAATTTATTTAGTAATTGGTTAAAAACCGAAACTCCGATAATTTATTTAGTAATTGATTAAACAACTCCAAAACTCCGAAACTCTATTTTGATAAACTAAATTAAGTAATTGATTAATGAACTCTGAGACTCTGAATGTCTAAATTAAGTAATTGATTTGAATTTACTTTAAAAAAAATATATATAAAAACATCGATTTTTTACTTTACCTCATATAAATAATTTGCATAAAATAATAATCAAAATAACAATGGGTTTGATAGATCTTACTCGACGTTTTATCGATTTTTTTAACAAGTAAATATAGTGCAGTAGTATAATGTTATTAATGAATTATATTTTAAACTAATTTTATTTTAAACAAAAAATAAAGCATGGATACTAAAAATAATATGACAAAAGCTCAACTTTAGCAAAAATTAATGAATTAACAACAACGTTTGAGGAACAAAAAAATAAAACGAAAAAAAACCATACTAATGAAATCAGAGAAATAATTACCGCAAAGAATAAAGAAATTACAAATTTGATGTCTATTATTGATAATCATGCTAAAGAAATCGAACGAATCGATGAAATGAGAAAAAAACATGAATACGAATATAACGAAAGGTTGAAAGAAAAAGATAAAATCCACAAACGTGAAAAAGAAGAAAGAGAAAGAACATATAAACGGGAAACCGATCTTTTACAACACACTATCGATCGTTTGGAACAAACTATTTGCTCTTTACAAATTAGTACTATCTCCGAATATTAATATATTTTTTCTTTTAAATTTTTTATTTATATTATATAAAATAATTTATATTAATTAATATAAATAAAGTTTAAATAATATTCCAAATTTTGTTTATTTAATAAGTCTAAATTAAGTAATTTGATTTGAAATTCCTAAACTCCGAACTCTGTTTAATAAACTATATTTAGTAATTAATTTGTAAATTCCAAAACTCCGAAACGCCATTTAGCGGAAATAGAAGTTCCTTTCTTTTAAGAAATAATTTTTGTATAAAAATCTTTTTTTATACAATACGGAATCTTTAGTACGCAGTTATTATATATAAAATAGAAACAATGACAATGAATATATAATTATTTTTCTTATCGATAAGATGTAATTTGATTTAAGTAGGGTGTGGCGACTTAGTGAAGTGGTGAAGTTGTCGCACCCCCAAGCGGTTGAGTACAAGTTCAATTCCCA